GAGAATTAGTCTGAAGGGGCTGGATCAGGGGAATATAGTAGATGTAGTAAAACGTCGGAACTGAGAACTTTCTTTAATCCACGAGAAGCCTGTAATCAAGCAAGTAAACCGTCGGCAAAGGAGGGGAGTTGGAGTTTATTTCTCGAGGTCAAAGCATGCGGTGCGCATGCGCCGTTTTTTTTTTTTTTTTTTTTCTGAACGACGTCCATTGAGTGAAGATGACGTGCGAGACTAACATGATCACATGCCATCTTCTGAGCCAATTCCATTGGGCTTTAGCATGGTTCTTCCTTAATCAGCGCGTACAACTGATTCTCCTCAAACTGAACAGGGCGTCCAGATCGCGAAGAATCTTTGAGTTCAAACTTCCCTCCCTTGAAACAGGAAAAAAAAAACATTTCTGGGAAATTCTCTCGTTAATGAAACCATCCCCGTAAACAGCACACGTCTTGATCAGCTTTGATAACTTCGTGACCTTGGTTAAAAGCAAAGAGAAGATATCGAACATGCCCATTCTTGTCTACAGTGTAGACATAGCCACTCCGCTCGCGGTGTGCACGATGTTCGACAAAAGATCAGCGATCCGAATCTGCAGAGTACGTGCTACCTCATCGATGATAGCTTGCCGATTCAACATCACTATCTCTCCAGCTTGCTAAACCTTCGTATCACATGTGGAGGTTGACGGGTCTTCTGCGTCACGCTTGTCCGGCCACTTTTAAACTTCTTCATCCACTCATACACACTTCTACGCGGTAACCTCCGATTAATTTCAGCCCCTGACACACCGTACGACCAGTGTACACTGGTAGCGGAGCGGCCATGTTTACACTGTAACAGCAGAAAAAAAATGGCACGATCAAGCTTAAACTTAGATTCCGTGACCACAATAGTAACAATTTGTAACCTATGGAAGGTTACTGAATAGAATAATCACACGAAGAGTAGTAATGAACGATAATATTTAGGACACGATCAACACATATAAGATTCGCCAGCGGCGCGTAGAAGTAGTCAAATGCTGGAAGTAAGTCAAGTGATTTCCTCAATGAATCTGAAATTGCGGTCACATGTAGCGCAAGGCCGAATTTAATGTGGGGTATCGGAGCCCGTAAGCTCGACCAAAAAATTCCCCGTACACCCTGTATAAGACGGTGTCGGGTAGCTGTTTCCCCGAGAAGAGACTCTGCCCCGCGAAATCGCCTCGTCTGGGGGATCATCTCTGCCCGGAGACAGAGAGTTTGACCATCACAGCTGGAGACGAATCTCCACCTGCAGACCAACATACAGTATTTACTACTGTATTTATGTGAATGGGGGCATACCCATTATCGTCCGTAGGTATGCTACAACAGATATCATGAAGCAAAATCCCTATTTAGCGAAACATACCAAATCCGTTCATTGGTGAAATGGATACGAGAGACTTTAACAAATGAGGAGATAGCTATCGCGAACGTCACATACAAAAACTTGAATTTGAAATCATGTTGATGATGAGGAAAAACTTCTTCAGTGTATCTTTTCGTATTTAATGAACGTGAAGGCTCTTGTCTTTTACATTTTTAAATTTTCGACGATGCCGAATGACGTAATTTAACCTGATGAATATTCATGAGCGTCTAATAAAACTTTTGAATTTCAAGTAACTAATAACACGTAGCTTGTGATTACATTAGTTATCATGCACAGTACAAAATAATAAAACACACACACACACACACACACACACACACACACACACACACACATATATATATATATATATATACATCTACATCTATATATTTTTGTCTTTTTATACACACAAACACACACACATACATAAGATAGATAGATAGATAGATAGATAGATAGATAGATAGATAGATAGATATAGGTAATGTTATATCCTAGGGAAGGTTACTGAATAGAATAATCAAACGAAGGTTGATAATGAACAATAATACTTAGGACAAGAACAACACATATAAGATTCGCCAGCGGCGCGTAGAAGAATCAGTCAACTGCTAGAAGTGTGTCAAGTGAATTCTACAATGAATCTCCACCTGCAGACCAACATACAGTATTTACTACTGTATTTATGTGAATGGGGGCATTCACATTATCGTTCGTAGGTATGCTACAACACAAAGTAATTAATTCGCCAGAGGCGCGTAGAAGTAGTAGTCAACTGCTAAAAGTGAGTCAAGTGATTTCCACTCTGAATCTCCACCTGCAGACTAACATACAGTATTTACTACTGTATTTATGTGAATGGGGACATGCCCATTATCGTCCGTAGACATACTACAACACAATTATAAGCACGCATGAGCAAAAGGCAGTGTGAAAAACCAAAAGATATATTATGGCGTAAGTGCAGATTAATTTTTACTTAAACCTCGTATATATCTATATAATAAATGAGAATGTCAGTGTGTCACTGTGTCACACATTTTTAATTTTACTCTTATAGGCCGTAGCCCAACATATCATACCATTTTGGAATCACGCCGACTACGTGAGCAAATTAAAATCATTCCACTTTCACCTGAAGACGGTTGCGAGACCAGACCAGAAACACGTGTCGTGAAATTATGTAAAACAAAGTATAATATTTTTTCTCAATAAATCCACATTACAACCAAAAACGTTTGCGGCACCCCTCTTCTTTTTAATATACATACTTTTCTCTCGTTGGAACCACTACAACATATTTCCTTTATATATATATATATATATATATGCTGTTGTGCACCCGACCGACCACAACTATGAGTTGTTTACGTGTTAATGCTTTAGACTAGTATAGGCTACAGTGTAGGGCCCTGTGACGGATTATCTTTAGGCTAGTATAGGCTACAGTCTAGAGCCCAGTGACGGATTATCATTTAGGCTAGTATAGGTTACGAAAAAAGGGTCCTGTGACGGATTATCTTTAGACTAGTATAGGTTACAGTCTATGGCTCAGTGACGGATTATCCTTTAGGCTAGTATAGGCTACAGTCTAGGGCCCAGTGACGGATTATCCTTTAGGCTAGTATAGGTTACAATCTAGGGCCCTGTGACGGATTATCTTTAGGCTAGTATAGGCTACAGTCTAGGGCCCAGTGACGGATTATCCTTTAGGCTAGTATAGGTTACAGTCTAGGGCCCAGTGACGGATTATCCTTTAGGCTAGTATAGGCTACAGTCTAGGACCCTGTGACGGATTATCATTAAGGCTAGTATAGGTTACAGTCTAGGGCCCTGTGACGGATTATCCTTTAGGCTAGTATAGGTTACAGTCTAGGGCTCAGTGACGGATTATCATTTAGGCTAGTATAGGCTACAGTCTAGGGCCCTGTGACGGATTATCTTTTAGGCTAGTATTAGTATAGATTAACAATTCCGAGCAATTATTCATTATGTCAACACGCCCAAACGCTCACTCATCTAAGTACTGACCAGGCTCTGCTTCGGTGATTTTACGGGAAACCGGTGTGCAACTTGACGCGGCCGTGAGCCTTTACTGTCAGGTGATTCGTCTACCTGGCACTTAACAAACCACTGAAAATCCTCACATTTATGCCTTCAACGGATCAGGAATGAAAAGAGGAAAATCCCGATATCGTAGGAGCACTATGTGTACTGCAGAAGAAGTTGTGTCTCTTGGGCAATATAGCCTGACGGGTCACAATCCTCCAAAGAATCCAGATTTTTTTTTCCTTCTCCTTGACTGGTTGCCACCCAAGAAATAAAGTGAGAAGAACGGGATTCATACTTTTCCCTATTGGCACGTAAGTGAATGTAATGGACCCATCTGGAATTCGAACTCGGCTCTCCGATTAACAATTCCGAGCCGCTATTACTTTCACTGTGTCTCCCTTGAAAATCATTACGTTCATTGTAATCAGTGTAAAGGAGTTGGTACAACAATCAAAGGAGATAATCGAATAAAATCGATCAATTGCCAATAAAAACAGTAGTTCTTCTTTAACAGCAAAATCTGATTTACAAACAAAACTGATCGATCTCCTCAGCGGACATAAAATAAAATAAATAAATGAAAGCCCTAACAGATGACTCGGTCGATATACAGAACGCACTTACGGCAAAGCATGTGCAAATATTTATACATTTGTTACTTTTACGCCATCGTAAGGTACATGCAAACATTTATTTATATAGCGCTTGCTTATATAACTCAGTGTCAGGTCTGACACAAGGCCGCAATATTATGTTATTGTCAGTCGCTTGTCTATGTTTATGAGATGAAATAATGAAACTATTTAGACTATTTACATTGTTCGAATTGTTTTCCTCTTCTTTACTCGCATATTCACGACGTTTCGACCGTTGTATGATCAGGCCTTCTTTAGGGTCTGTCTATATCTCTGAGATGAGATATTGAAACTATTTACACTATTTACATTGTTCGGATTTTTGTCCTCTCCTTTACTCTCATATTCACGACGTTTCGACCGTTGTACGATCAGGCCTTCTTCAGGATCTGTCTATATTTCTGAGATGAGAACTTGAAACTATATAAACTATTTGCATTGTTCGAATTGTTGTCCCCTTCTTTACTGTCATATTCACGACGTTTCGACCGTTGTACGCTCCGGCGTCCTTCATGTGACTGGACTTTGGAACCGAGTCTTTTATTTCGTCCAGTAGGGTAGATTGTTCTAGTTCCACGTGACATGCCTCTTTCGAATATCTCAGTATCAGTTTTTTTTTCCTTTTAACTTAACTCTTCAATATTGTTTTTTAATTTCTGATGTAGCCAGATATTGTTTCAACCAACAATTTTATCCATTGTCATTGTGCAAATTAAATGATGTCGTTCATTAAAATAACAATGGCCAGTGTACACTTAGCGAAATAAACTACGGAGATTATATTTTTAGGTTCGGATATTTGACGATATCCACCTGATTCAAGTGGCAGGGTACCTTAAGATATTCCATTTAATTAGACTAATAAAATACCTTAGTAGCAAAACCTTTAACAGTAAGGAAGAGACCAAATTCTATATGATCAGGATTGGATTCGGGCAAAGATTTAGGCTGTATCTCTATCTTCAACGTTTATCAAACTTTAATTTAATTGTGTTTCAGAATGTCCATATCTATCTATCTATCTATCTATCTATCTATCTATCTCAGTCTGTTCATATCTATCCATCATTGTCTACCTCTATCTATCTATCACAGCCTGTTCATTATCTATCTAATTCAATCCCTTCATATCTATCTATCTATCTATCTATCTATCTATCTATCTATCTATCTATCTATCTGTTCATTATCTATCTATCTATCTATCTATCTATCTATCTATCTATCTATCTATCTATCTATCTATCTATCTATCTATCTCAGTCTGTTCATTATCTATCTATCTATATATCTATCTATCACATCCTGTTTATCTATCTATCTATCTATCTATCTATCTATCTATCTATCTATCTATCTATCTTTCTATCTATCTATCTAATTCAGTCCCTTTATATTTATCTATCTATCACAGCCTCTTCATTATCTATCTATCTATCTATCTATCTATCTATCTATCTATCTATCTATCTCAGTCTGCTCAAATATTTCTATGTATACATTTTTAACAGTCTGCTTATATTTATCTATATATCTTTTTTTAGTTGTTTAACCTCAAGCAAGGAGACAACGACACTAGGACGCAGGCTTTAGAGAGAGTGAAATCGAGAGAAAAGACTGAGTATAGGAACGTTTGAGGAGAGAACAAAAATGAAAGGGGTTCAAGGTAGAAGATGGCGATTGACGTTGCATGTAAAATTTTGAAGATTGTAGTTAATAAGGAAGCAAGTAAACGCAAGGGAAGTCCACAGTCGAGAAGTGCGAAAAAAAGGAAATGTTGAAGCGGAAGTGGCGGCTGCATTTAGCCATTTCAACAGTAAACGGGTGGAACGGAGATGCCAATCTAGTAGCATGCTTAAATTCATGTTGTTGGGGCACCAGATAAAAAAGGTTGTCAGGGTAGTTAACACGAAAATATTCGCGGAAAAGACAAAGAGAAGCCACGTCACGTCGGTGAGAAAGTGTCTGAAGTCGAGATGTCAAGTAAGGATCGGTTACATAACAGATCATTCTTTGGATTTTGTAAAAAATCCCGATTTATAGAGCAGAAGCACCAGACCAGATATGGCAACAGTATTCAATGCACAATCGATTTGTAAATGTGCAAGATGGATTCCGGCCTAAACAACAGGCATATAAAACAATATGTGATTTAAGGAGATACTGGCAAGTTTTCGGTCGAACATTGCATTCACAATATCTATGAGAGGAGAAAATTCTCCGACAAATGTTACAGTTTATCCGCCGGCAGAAGATTGTGTGTGCATATTAAACCGTCAAGATCTGGATAAGCGATTCTCAAGTAAAGTTTAACATTTTTTATAATGTACTTGTTTGCCATGTGTTTTTTTTTTTTTTTAAATATATTTTACATTGAGCACTGTACCTTGATAAATAGATCTTAACAAATATTATATTAATGCAATAAAACATAATGACGAGGAGAAATAAACGCGCCATTTTATACGTACCCGAGCATATCACACAGGTGCACAACTCATTAAAATGACTAAAGAAATATACGAAAGCCTTTGGAACAATGGACAACACGGGCCATTTTTTTTCAATTCCTTGCTTGTACCAAATTGGAAAAATGCAAGAATGCTGGAAAAACTAAATGAAAAATGGATTAAATTTTCTTTCTCTCTCATATTGACGAAACATGTTTAAAAGAAAGGTTGCTTCCAAAAATATATATATATATATATATATATATATATATATATATATATATATATATATATATATATATATGAACTTGTTTCCTAAGTATGCATTAATATATATATATATATATATATATGCTAAAAAAAAATAAAAAAGGAAGAATGAATTATATTTTCCTTTCTTTCGTATTGATAAAACATGTTTAAAAGAAAAGTTTGCTTCAAATACATTAATATATATATATATATATATATATATATATATATATATATATGAACTTGTTTCCCAAATATGCATTAATATATAGATAGATAGATAGATAGATAGATAGATAGATAGATAGATAGAAGATATGGTGAAAAACATGAATGAAGAATGAATTAAATTTTTCTTCTCTTTCGTATTGAACGAAACATGTTTTAAAGGTTACTTTATATATATATATATATATATATATATATATATATATATATATATATATATATATATATATATATATATAAGCTTATTTGCAAGTATGCATTAATATATATATATATAAGCTTCTTGCAAGTGTGCATTAATATATATATATATATATATATATATATAAGCTTGTTGCAGGTATGCATAAATGTATATATATATATATAACCTTGTGGCAAGTATGCATTAATATATATATATGCAGCAATCCTTCATTTGCACATGTTTCATTAAAGACTACATTAAAAGGTACTGCAATTAAGCTTTTTATTTAATTTTTCTTGTTTGAAAAAGTGTTTTCTTTTCTGAACACAGAGTGTATAGAAACTGTTCCAAATATTCTATAATTCCGAGCGCTTTCGGCTATACTTTTACCCATTATCAAGGATGATTTTATTTTTGATTTGTAATTAGGTGCATAGGTTGTGTGTATGTTAAAATTAACATGTCGTTTTTAATGAAACACACACACACATACACACAGACACACACAAACACACACAAACACACACACACACACACATATATATATATAAACTTGTTGTCCAAATATTCATTAATACATACACACACACACACACACATACGAGTATCCACTAAAATAAAGTTTAAGTAATAAAATCTGTTGGATTAATAAATGAAAAATTCATCCCTTTCTCTAGAAGCTACGAGCACGAGCAGTTTTGAAATTTTTGTCCAGTAATTTTTTTTTTTTTTTTCATAAATGATCTTATCTTTATGACCAACCCAAAAAATCTCTTTTTCAATCTTTGACTAAATTAATCAATTAAAAGCTTAAAATGTTCACTTGTTTGTTGATGAAATTTCTAATTAAATGTAAATGTTTCGCAAATATATTTTGATTAAAGTAACAGTATTTTATATTTTTTTAAACCTTTTTGTAACGGGTATTAAGATTTTTATCAGGGGTGTATTTTATTCCAAGATAATTTTTCAACTTATTCAAGATGATCTTCGCCCTCTCAAACCTTCTGTCATGGAGTAACAGTTTTCGCGTAAGATTTCATTTTCAAATCTTTTTTTATTGTCCTTTGGACTGTCATAGGTGAAACTTCTCTCTCACGTGCTAAACAACTTATGGATTGGGTTGGATCTTTTCTAATTGATCTCTTTAACTCTAAGTTGAAGTGATGATCCCTCTTCCTGTTATGACCTCCTCATCCAGATTTCCTCTCTACTGTTCCCTCTTTTTAAAACTTATTTACCGTTCCCTTGATGGTTCTTCAATGGCCTTTGAAGATGGAAGCCAGAGAATGTATGTTAGTACCATTACTGAAGGCCTGAATGATCTTGTTCTTCTCACCATTGCTTTTCTGGGAAGACATTGGGTCTGACACAAAACAATTTTTAATTTTGTTTCATTTTTAGGTGAATAACACGAAGTGTTTTTCAGTGATTCCTATGACAAATGGGGTCAAGATGGCTAAAAGTCTTATCTGAAAAAACTCCTGTAAAAAAGAAACTCAATTAGTTTAGTGTTTTTTAGATACGAAACATTTTGAGGCGTTGAACAATTGTTTTTATATATATATATATATATATATATATATATACACATATATACATATATATCATATATATATATATATATATATATATATATATATATATATTCTCAATATTCACGGAGCCCACCTGTGGTTTATACTGCAACTATGCTAAGCAAACCATAGTTACAGTTTCTGGGAGAGAGCGTGTGATCAACAATTTGAACAAGGCTAGCACGCTCAAGTTTCTCGGCTACGATATCTTGTGGCTTTGTGCTAGCACATATATCGACGGCCCCTAAGGATTCACTCAAAACCCCTGGGTCAACACGTGCTATGTACACGTATATATATATATATATTGATGAATTCTTCACTGTGTTCGTGATAATTGATCCTGAAAACATGAATTTAACCAGTCAACGCTATGAATATTTAAGAAATAAAGCCATGTATTTTCAGTACACCCGAAATTTTTTTTCATATTTTCACAAGAAATGGAGTTGTAATTAGCATTACTATCGATCCACCAACACATCTTTATGGGTCACCTCCCTGTTACTATAACCATGCGGTTCTCACCAAACTGCCATCATTAATAATAATTGATATTAATCGCTTTAACCAAGCACAATTCACCGCAAACCTAAAATATCGATGATCGATCATCATCTCGCCGCTTGGCCATTTGAAGGCGTCAGTAGCTACAGCCGGTCTATCGATGCTGTCATTAACGCCAATCCCACTCCACAACCGGCAGATCTTGAATCGTTATCTAAACGTTTAATAATCAACACAAACAACCTTATAAAACTAACCTAAAATTTGCGACAGCCATCTTTGTTATCTGAGCAGTAGTACGAGTGGGTGCTGAAAAGTTAATGCGTCGAACTACTTCTCAAAGTTCTTTTTTATCAACACGTCGTAAAACAAGACAAAAAGACATTGTCCTCACATTAACTTCACTATATAACATATTGCACTCTGAGTATGATTGTGCGTCACTTTAATTTTCACTTTCACTTTCCGTGTAATATATTGCGCCCTGAGTGCGATTCGTCGTCGCTATAGCTTTCACTTTCACTTTCCGTGTAATGATGCACCCTAAATATGATTGGTTATCATTTTAACTTTCACTTTCACTTTCTTTGTAATATTGCATATTCAACGAGATTTGTCTCCACTTTAGCTTTCACTTTCACTTTCCGTGTAATAATGTACCTTGAGTATGATTAACTTTCACTTTCGCTTTCCGTGTAATATTTCACACTGAGTATATCTAATGACTTCACTTTAGTATTTCACTAGGAACATACCATAATTTTTGTATACAATTATGTTTTACTAGAAATACCCGTGAAAATTTCGCAGTTTTTCTCTTTGAATTTCTTGATGAACTTTAATTCTTAAGTCAATGCTTAAATAAGTTCATGGCAAGATTTACGACAATAAAATATCGTTAGTAATCTTATTGCATTGTTAAAGAATTTAACATTTTTAAGAAAATATTGCAATTACAATCATAAGTATGAATGTTGGTCGTTGTTTTAAGAAGTAAGAAAGTACAAATAAAAAGATTTCCATTTAACTGAAACAGACGTCCCCTTCTTTCTTTCTTTCTTTCTATTTCTCAAACCAAGTAGCGTTTCTGATATGTCTTTTCAGTTTTTCCACGCGATTTAAACGGGATAGTCCATTATATATGGGTTATTAGTAGGAGACAGCGAACACTTCTATCTTACTTTCTTTCTTTGTTTCTTTCATTTTCTTTTCTCACTGAAACCATGAAGTGTTCTGATGGCTTTTCCGTTTTTCATGCGATCAAAACGGAATAGTCCATTATTTATGGCGTAC